TGAACTCAGAGTCTCAAACCTTCTAGGTAAATGCTCTACCACTGAGCCACACCCCCATCCCCAAACAATAAATCTAAAAGATCCAGCTTTATCTTACAAGATTCCTGAATTTCAAAAATATTGACTTGGGGCCAGGGGGTCTTAAACTTTCACATAGAAAAATTACAAAGTAAAACCAGGTCAACGTCAGACTTGACATTTGCAGCCTGCTAAGGATCAGTGAACAGCATCCACAGTTGGGGGGGGGGCTGGTGGTGATAAAGACTACTTCTAAGAACTCACATATCTCAAAGATTCCATTCATCTCTTAAGGCAAAAAAGCAGTGCTTATTCATTTCACATCTGTGTAGTGAGTAGTTAATTTGTGCGAGGCACTTTTCTAACTTTCATACTGAAGCAACAATTTACTAATAGCTAAAAATATTTTTTAAAAAAAGACTATCAATGGACCTTTTCATTTTATTCATTTATATGTGATGCTGAGAATAGAACCCAGTGCCTCACACATGCTAGGTAAGCACTCTACCACTGAGCCACAACCCCAGCCCCCTAGTAATAGTCTTAAGCTAAGTCTCTTTTTGTAGGGGTCCTGGGGATTGAACCCAGGGGTGCTCCACCACATCCCCAGCCATTTTTGTGTTTTTATTTTGAAACATGGTCTCACTAAGTTGTTGGGGCTGGCCTCCAACTTGCGATCTTCCTGCCTCAGCTTCCTGAGTTGCTGAGATCACAGGCCTGTGTCACTACACCTGGCTATTAAGCTAAATATTTTTAAAGCATCACTCACTGCTCCCCACTCATCTCCCCAACTCCTTGATCTTGTTAAACAACCTCAGCAAGATCAAGGAGTTGGGGAGATGAGTGGGAAGCAGTGAGTGATGATGAGATGAAACAGTCATGAGCTTTTCCTAGAAAGCATCCCTGTGGAGTTAGGAGAGTGTTGTGTGGATATGTAATGGAATGAGAATGGGAAAGTGACTTTGAAGTGCCTAACACGGGGGGAAAAAGGATAAACATGAATTCCACTAGCTGGGGAAAGAGGAAAAAAAACAGCAAAATAGAAATTATAGAGTTAAAGGAAAGGAGAAAGATCACCAGTCTCTCAGCCAAAATGTGGGTGGCACAGTTTAGTCCCTTGATGTCACTGTTGAGCTGCTGGAAAACTCGCTTGGAAGCTTGCTCTATGTTCCAAGCTGCTAATTACGTGAACTTATTTCCTTACTTTTAAGCTATTTTGAATTTTCTGATTTAGTGGTGAGCTTCCTAATAGATACACCCAGTTTCACAGATAGGAACGCTGAGGTTCAGAGAAGCATACACTTACAGAGGTAAAAAACTGAGAGAAGAAAACTATAATAAAATTTTGGAATATAGCAGACCTGAGAGAATTTTGGAAAAAGCCAATTTAGCAGAATCAAGAAAGCTGACTCTAAGCCAGGTGTGTTTGATCTATATGCTAGTCTCCCCCAGAGTCTCAGAGGGTGGCACCACCAAGCGGAGTAGTGTGAGCTCAGTGAGGAGGGCTGCTTGAAAAGCCTATTGGGAAGGGGTCTCAGTCCCACATCATCTCCCTCTGAGCAAGGTTCCAGGCACCTGTCTCCCGCCTGAGGAGAGAAGTGAGGGTTACTCTGAGGGTAACAGAGGGCAGGTCTTAGCCCAGTACAGTGAGGGTGGGAGTGCCACAGACAGATGCACAGGCTCCCTGTCCTCACCCAGACAGCCAGGCTTCAGTCCTGTGGGGGAGAAGGAGGGTCTTAGCTGAGGATCTGTCTTGTCTAGGAGGAAAGCGCTACACATCCAGCAATAAGCTGTTAGCTAGATGATTCTACAGGAAGTGTCACCATTGTCAGTCCAATCCACAGAGTCTTGAGCTTCAAATTGGCATTTTTGTTGCTTCATTATTTATTTACTTAAGAATTTAACCTTTATTTATTTTTTATGTGGTGCTGAGAATCAAACCCAGTGCCTCACCTGTGTTAGGCAAGTGCTCTGCCACTGTGCCCCAGCCGCAGATCTGTTGCTTCATTCTTAAACAGGAACAGACAACTGAGGTTCACCAGACTGTCGGGGGAAAGCCTCTCTGTGGCACAGCAAACAAGAGCACTTGGGGGACAGAATATGCATGGGAGAAGAACAGCTCATCATAAACTCCCTCTTCATATCCCTAGGGACAGGGATTGTATTCCTGAGAAAGGAATCTTGTGAACAGGAAGGGATTCTTGAAAATTAGAAGCAATAGCATACTTAGAATATTGAACTGTTCCAGGAAATTGGTCAAAATGACAAAAATAGGGAAAATAGGAGAGTTAATATTAGAGAGCTACTTCAGGAGATCTGATATATGGCTAGCAGGAATTCCAGATAGGGAGAAGAGAAGGAATAGTGCAGAAAAAATACAAAATCAAGAAAATTTTCAATTTGAGGGACATGAGTTTGGAGATCCAGAGGGAGGGCTCGTCTTGCACTGAACAGCACACATGAAGATGGACTCACAGCGAGAACATCGGGAACTCAGATGCTGTGTACTTCACAGTGGGACTCGCAAGCACGACTCATAAGACACACAAAGGGGCAGGAATAAGAACAGCAGCAGGCTTCTTAACCTAGCAGTGGCTTCAGAACTCTGAAAGAAAAGTTTTAGCCCAGTACACACCCAACTCTGTATTTAAGCAAATGGCGAGAGAAAGGTATTCCCATTTGTGCGGTCTCATGTGATTTTCCTCCCATTCATCCGTTCTCAGCAAGCCACTGGAGGACACGTACCACCTAAGTGAGGGGGAGAGGATGGGGCTTGCAAGAAGGGCAGCCCTAGATGGCAGAGGCAGCAGTCTCTGGAGCGGGCAAGTCCCAGACTCTAGGAGAAGCTCTGTCAAGATAATGAAATTCCAAAGAATATAAAACCCAGGAGAAAATAGAGACTATTGGTGCAAAGTTTGAATTGGTGATAAATACATAGAAAACTAATAAGTAAATGAAAAGAAATAATTTCTAATTCTGGGGGTAGAAGAATGTTAAAAAAGAAAGCTGATCATAGTTTTCTACAGGGGCAAGCAGTGGGTAGCATTTCTGTTGTTACAGTGATGTGTACAGTGAGGAAGGTGGAAATGGAAGTGTACCGACTGCCACGCCGAGTTATTCTAAATGCGGAATCAGATCTTAAGGATGTAAACCACCTGAATTCCACTGTTACAGAGCAGGCCCAGTCAGGCTGGGTCGTTCAACATGCGTTCCTCATGTTGGCTGCAGGCTCCATTTGCCCTTTCTTCCAGGAAAGCACCTAACTTTGACTTGAGTTTTCCCATTAGATAAGATCTGTGGGATTGCTTTTCAAAGTTCTCCACCTCTTCTAGCCAAGGAACTGAACCTTCAAGGGTCATCTGAGCCCTGTCCTTAGGACACTTGCTCAAGGGTCACTCTGAGCCCTGTCCTTAGGGCACTTGCCCTGTGGGCTTTCATTCCTGACCCCAACAGCTTAAAGACTGAAAGTGGTTGGGCAGATTCCTCTTGCAGTGACCATGGAGGGAGATCCTGATGGTCCTGCGCTGACGGTTCCAGCTGCCTGGTGTCCTCTGTTTGCCTCACTGGCAAGTTTCTTGCTATATCTCATGAGTTCCTTTTCCGTTTTAACCAGGGAATCAATTTCAGTTACAATAACCAATGATGTGGGTTTTAAACCTCAAATAAGTTTCGATTGGATAAGAGAAAACGCGCGCGCTTGTGTGTGTGTGTGTATGTATGTAGGTATGTGAATATGCAAGCAAGACAAATAAAAAAAATTAGAATTTAAGGCCATAAAATAGAATTTTAGTTATAAAGCATTGCAGATGGGGGGGGGGCACATGAAGTGGTAAAAGGTGTGATTCATAATGAAGATGCAGCAGTGATAGGTATGACAACAAAGAGAAACCTCAGCAGCTAATACAGGTTCATGAGGAGAAGCTTCTGCAGAACTGAGGAAATCTGACCAAAGCACAGGTGTGCTGGGGATTTTAACTTATCTGTCGCAGAGTTTAAAAGATAAATCAACAAGAATAGGGAGATATTATGTGCAAACCATTAGAGAAAGCAGCAGAAGACCTGAGTAGGGGGGATGCCCAGGTGGAAATGTGGTCAGTCACATCAAGGAAAGGACGTGTTAAGTAGCAGTGGGAAGGTACTTGTCACCCATCACTTCCAGTGCTGGGGAAGAGACTAGAAAACAGGTACTTTCAAAAGTTATTGATGGAAATATAAACTATTACAGTAAATTAAATTATTACAGTAAATGGCACTATTTTGGCAATGTAACCTTTAAATATCTTATAAAACTAAATGCTCACACCTTTGACTCTGATATGAATTTAGAGAACTTGTCATACAAAAATAATAGAATCAAAACATACTGGATGTGCATATGATAATTTTTATTACAACATTGTTTGTAGTGGCAAATAATGAAGAAAACCTGAATATTCACAAATGGAATAATTTTGAGTAAAATTGTAGTACATTCCTATTATGGAATGTTATTCAGCTATTATGGAGTTGGCCCTATGTGTCAACTTGGATGTAGCATTGAAAAGGACAGCAAATGGTCAAGTAAAGCATCTTATTTGGTCCTGTTAATATAAAATGCACAACAATATATGATGAAAGCTAAGCACAAAAATGAAGAAAGGTAAGGAAGCGTCAGCTGTGCTGGTGATGGTGGTCACTAAGGAGGAGAAGGGAGAGGAGGAGACCTTGGTTCTTTCCCACTTGGTACAGTAAGCATGTGATGCTCTTACAATTAATAAAAGATTAATAATAGATCAAGTAAGAATTTTATCAACTTAAGAAATTTTCTAGGAAACATTTTTAATCAAGAAGAACCTGGATGTTTTAAATAATAAATATGTGAATGTTCTTTTAATAAATCACAGCAACATTTGTTTTTATTCCCAATTATCAGGATTTGCAATAATGTTCTAATGTGCTAAGGGTTCTGTTGTTATATTTCTAAATATTTTTGCTTTGGGTAGGTCTGTCTTCATCGGTGGAATACAACATAATGGACTTGGAACAGGAACTTGAAAATGTAAAGGCCCTTAAGACAAAACTAGGTACTGTACTTCTTTTTCTTATGTATTGATCTTTAAACACTTTTCTTATGTATTGTCTTTAGAGACCTTTCTTTGGTGTAGTCTGAGATACTAGAAAATTTGCAAAATCTTTAGATTATGTTAGAACTTTCTGTGTAAAGTCATTAGTAAAGACTGTCTTTTCATTTGGGAAGAGGGCAGTTATATATTCACTGACTTTTTTGTGTGTATATACTAATAACTTTCAAAGATGCTAATTCTCAAAGGTGTTACTCTTCTGTCTTCTCATTTACATTATTTATAATAAATAATCTGTAAAACTTATCTTTTTTAATATTTATTTTTTAGTTATAGGTGGGCACAATATCTTTTATTTTTATGTGGTGCTGAGGATTGAACTCAGTGCCTCACGCGCCGGTGGGCAAGTGCTCTACCACTGAGCCCCAGCCCCAGGCCATACTTATCTTTTAATATATCTTTTTTATGTATCTGCTATTAGGATACCTCTTTACTGTTAATTTTGGGCAATCTTCTTATGATGAGCATTTCAGTGTGCTGTATTCTTTGGATTTATTGAGTCTCTCAGATCTGGGAATTTATACTTTCATCTAATTTGGAGAATTGTTGGCTGTTAACTTCTGCAAATATATTTTTCCTTGTCTCCCTACCCTTTTATCAGGAGCTCAAGTTATGTGTAGATTAGCTCATAGCTTGAGGATGCTTCTGTGCTTTTTATCTCTTTTCTTTTTGTTTCATTTTTGTTGGTCTTTGACTGTCCTTTCACTAATCTTTATTCTACAGGTCTGACCTGCCTTCTGCATATCTGACCCATGTGTGTTTCTATTCCCAGTTACTAGGGTTTATAATTTGCATCAGAGAGTGCAGTTTTCATTTCTGTAAGTTCTCTTTGGGTCTGGTATCTTTCACACCTCTAATTAACATTTCAGTCTCTGTCTTCCACCTTTATGAAAATAAGGAACATAATCATGACACCACTTGGAATGTTTTTGTTTGATAAGTCTAACATTTGTGTTGATTCTTGAAAAGTTTGGATTGATTTTCTTCCTCATTATTGGTAGCATTTTGTGCTTCTTTGCTTGCTTGGTAGTTTTTGATTTGAAAGTTTTGGAGGTGCTGTTTTTTTGGGGGATATTGGGGATTGAGCTCAGGGGCACTCGACCACTGAGCCACACCCCCAGCCCTATTTTGTATTTTATTAGAGACAGGGTCTCACTGCATTGCTTAATGCCTCGCTTTTGCTGAGGCTTGAACTCGCCATCCTCCCGCCTCGGCCTCCCAAGCCACTGGGATTACAGCTATGCACCACCTCGCCTGGCTTGGGTGCCATTTTTGTTACTTCCAGAAGTGAGGCATTTTGTTTTGGAGAGCAGCGAATTTACTTGTAAACCATGTGATGTTACTGTGTCTTGGTGTGAAGCCTTATGAGGCCAGATGAGAGCTCTGTCACATTCAGGGCTGATTGTCCCCTGCCTCTTAGGCAGCCACTGTTCTTGGCCCTTGCTGATTGCCAAGTTCTGTTCCCTCCTCCTTTTGTGTGGGGTGTTTCCTGACGTGTCTGATCTGATCGTTACTGAGCACATGGCTGGCCCTCTGCAGGCCCTGGGCGTCCTTTGCCTGTGCTGCAGTCTCCTCTCAGGGACGGTGCTCTGTATGCTTCAGCAGGTTGGTCCCCTCAGGTCTTCTGCTCAGGAATGAGCACATCTCTCCTTGGGTTCATCTTCCCTGTGCCATGGTCTGGGGTCTCACAAGAAGGTTGGTCAAACAGACTTATACTCTTTGTTTCCCATCTTCAGGGATCACTGTCCTGCCCCAATAAGAAGTCTACTGTCTTGAAAACTGTCATTTCAAATATGGGTTCTTTCTGGTTCTTAATTCTTTCAGGCTGGATGGCAAATCTGTGCCCTGTCATTCCATCCTCAAAAGTCCAGAATTAGGTTTTCAAAATCAGATATGTTCATTTTAATTTCTGTAAGTAATATTATATTGCCTCAAGTTATCTTAGTCATTTTACTGTGGATGGATTTCGGATATGTTTCCAGTATTTTGCTTTTAAGAATAATGTTGTTTAAGCATTTTTGTGCGTGTCTTTTAGTGTATGTTTTTTTCAGGACACACTCTAGAAGTGAATTACATTGTACTTCAGTATATTCACTTTTATAGATAAATGCTAAGTTCTTTCCTAAGTATTTGCATTATTTTGCATTCCTACTAGGCATAGTAGGATTCCCTATTGTCCCCATCCTTGCTAACACTTGACAATGTAGAACTTTTAAATGTTTACCAATGTAGTGGCTGGACATGGTGTTCCATTGGTGTTCTCATCACATGTTCCATTCTGTGATTGCAGGGCCCTTCTAGCTTCTGCTTGGAAACACTCTTTGGAATTTCACTTAATACATGTGTCCTGCAGTGATTCTTTCAGTTTCTGTTTGTCTGGAAACATTCACTTTGTAGGGCATTTTTTAACAGAATGGAGAATTCTTATTTGTTTCTTTTCCGCATTGTGGAGATGTCATCCCAGTGTCTTCTGGTTTCTGGTTTAAAGTCATATTGTTGGTTTTCGAAGGGCTTTAAATATTTCCTTTTTGTCTTTGTTTAGCTGTTTTACACTGATGTGCTCAGATTTTTTGTTTGTTTGTTTGTTTCATGTGTATGCATTTTTTTGGTTTCTTGATTATGGTTCTTAAGATCTCTGTGCCTTCATGACTGTGGCTTGATGTCCTTCACCCACTTGGGAGAATTATCGGTCATCATCTCATCAAACACTGTTTCTGCCTCATTCTCTCAGTTATGTACATGGCAGACATTTTCACTCTTATTCTTGTCCATATGTTCCTCCTTTTTCATTTCCATCTTTCAACTGTGATACTTTCTGCAAGCCTTGTTTTCTATTTCACCATCTTTTCAGCTATGCCATAACTATTCCAAACTATCTGTTGAACTCTTAATTTTTGTTATAGTTTTTTTCCAGTTCTAGAATTCATGTTTGATTATTTTTATTGGTTCAAACTTACTTGTGAAATTTTCCATTTTGTCACTTACCTTATTGAACCTATCAATCATTTCAGGCCTCTTTCTGATAAGTCCATAAGTGGACCAACTGAGGGTGTGTCTTCCTCTTTATCCTGCCTTCTGGACATGTTTGACTCAAAGCTAGACTTTTCTCACAGAATCATAGAAATTGAATGCTGTTTTCTTCTTTCTGAGCAGTTTCACTTTGGCCTCTGGTGGGCAGTAGAGTGGGATATAAAAACTTAGTCCTTCTGGGCTGGTCTGTTTCCAGCGTGACCTTGATCCTGGGTTATGGCATTTCATTGGTCCTCACTGAAAACCTGGCTATTTTGATCAGGCTTTTTTAATGAACTCTAGCTTGCTTCTCAAGAAACTTGAGCCAGCAGAGCTTTGCTGGGCTTCCAGCCAGGGCTGCATCCTTCTGCTCTCCACAGTCTCTTGGCTACTGAGGCTTTCTGGGAGAGTGGGTCTGCATGTCAGGTTCTCTTCTTTGCCCTTCCTTTCTCTCTGTGATGGTGGCATCTCAAATTCTGGCTGCCCTGGTAGCCCCAAACTCCAGGGTTTGTCTTCCTGGCCCTTTTGAGTTTTCTGAGAGTTTTGCTTTAACTTCGTTGTCTTCTGACTACTGATTTCTGCTTGATCTCTGAGTCTCATGGGTCCATGCCAGCTGCTTATTGAAAAACACCTTTGGGATAAAGTGGTGTACATGGGGGGCTCACCTGCACACAATTCAGAGAATATTGGCTCCTAATTCTCCTATCTGGGTAGCTTTCTGGTCTCTTAATGCAGATGCTTTAAAAGTGGAATTTCCTTTGTCCAGGTGTTCTTGGCAGGGGGACTGGTATAGTTCATGGTGTCCTTGGTATCTAGCCATGGATGTCTACTTCTAGCCTTCAGAAAGCTGGGAGTGTCCCTGAGGCTAGAGGAAAGTTTATGTATGTTATCGTACTCATTGAAGGGTATGTCTATGTCAGTATGTATATCTATACCAAATACAAAGCTTTCTGTATTTCAAAGTAAGCTGTATATTTACAGTATGTTTACATAAAAATGGAATTGTCTTTACAGGGATAAAATTTAGGCCTCCCAGAATTGAGCTGTTTAACATAGTGAACTGATTCTTTTTTTTTTTGTACCAGGGATTGAACTAAGGGGCACTTAACCACTGGACTATATATCCGGCTCTGTTTTTATTTTGTTTAGAGACAGGGTCTCACTGAGTTGCTTAGCGCCTCACTTTTGCTGAGGCTGGCTTTGAACTTGGGATCCTCCTGCCCCAGCTTCCCTAGCCTCTGGGATTTTATGTGTACGCCACTGCTCCTGGCACAAACTGATGTTAAAACTCTGATTTTTGTAATTTATGAAGGAAAATTGAAAGTAATTTATGCTTTTCAAAATGGGAAAAAATAATGCATACTGCTAATATCATGATGGGATGAAAATATAAATCTGGAGATAATTTTTAGAAATTTCTGAAATTTTTGTCTTGTTTTTTCCTTCTAATAGAGAGGCGAAAAAAGGCTTCAGCATGGGAAAGAAATTTGGTGTATCCCGCTGTTATGATTTTACTTCTTATTGAGACAGTAAGAATTTATTTGCATTCTTCATAAAGCATATTATATTTTATTTACTTTAGCCTTTGAGTATTGTAACTTTCAGCTAAATGGTTTCTAGTGAACAAGATTTTCTATCGAACAAGATTAAAATGTGTTTATACCTTTGTTAGAGCAAAGATGGAAGCTAATGCCAATTAGAAAAAGTCCTCAATTGTCTGTTTCCTGAGGAAATTCAGACTTTTTGTCTCATTTGAGAAAACAAGATGTTGTAGAAACCCTAGTTTAAACTTGCTGAAAGGATATGAAAATTACATTGTGAAATTAATTCTGTTGATACTTTACATGTCTGAGATCTGTAGAGTTGTGGGTTTCCAATTGGTGAGACTACTTAGTGAATGGTCTATCTCATTATCTTTTGTCATAAGCTTTGAAATCATAATAATTTGCAGAATTTTAAAGAATTTACCCTGGAGCATTTATACGTCATCTGCTTTGTTTGTGGAATTTGGTCTTGGCTGCTTTCCCTCTGTTCTGAAGCATGCATTTGGTCCTGTAGACTTATCATCTGCATGTTGGAACCAAGAGCTGACCCAGCCCAATCTTTGTGTTGCAGGCTATCTCGGTCCTACTGGTGGCCTGTAATATTCTCTGCCTGCTGGTTGATGAAACAGCAATGCCGAAGGGAGCAAGGGTACAGTAAAGTGCTTTCCTCTCTTTTGCAAATGTGTTCTGTGTATAGACCTGAGTGTTTTCAGTAAGTGAATGAAAACATTTGCCTTTCTGTGAGGTCAAGTTGTATGACTTTCTTTATGGAAAGAGTTTTCAAACAGTGTATTTATAAATATTGATTTCTCTAATTTTTTTTTTTTTTTTTTTTTAACTTTGAATTGTCCTTTTTTTCAGGTTGTAGAGTTCTCTTTAAACTCTGGTATCAGAGTTAAACTTGGTTTTACTGAAATTCCTATTGGTGATTCTTTAAGAAAATGCATGCTCTAAAATAGTGATGTATAAAGAGTATACCTGTTAGACTCATTGGATTTTTTTTTTTTTTTTAACCCAGGGCCTCAGGCATGCTAGGCAAGCACTCTGCCACTGAGCTGCATCCCCTGTCCACTCACTGGATTTTTCAAAGATCTAAATATACAGCTATAGGGACTTATACTTTAACTGTATCACACATTTTGTGAAACTATAACAAAATATACAGTTACTGGATAAAAGTATTTCTTTTCATGAATTAACTTTTTTCCTGATTTAAAAATCGATGATGTTATTTAATTGTATTGATGAACCTATTTGAATATATTTTTCATATGTATTATAGTTATCCTGACATATTCATATTTGCTATTCTTTTTCTATATATTACTACAAAAGTTTGAATCCTTAAAGTGGCATTTAAATTTTGAAATTTTATTTTATTTTTCCCAAGTCGTCAGCTTTTGCATTCCCCATAGCCAGATTCATGATATCACTGATCCCTCTCTGACTCAGATGACATATCCTTGTCTCTCATAGGAACAAGCCAGTGTCTGTCTTAATTCCTTCCCTTCAGTTTCAGAAAAAGATCCCCTGTTCTTTCAGAGACTGATTTCTTTAGCCATTTTCTTGATTCACTCAACCACCAGCCTTCTTGGGACCTTGTGCCATCTGCCACTGCCATCACCATACTTAGTTGTGCAAACCTACCGACTTCCCAGGTGCCTCAATCTGCACAATAAATAAGATGGTACTCCTCCTCCATCTTAGCCTTGTCTTTGTATCTCTCAAACCATGGGATGACCAGGAAGTCATTCCTGTATTGACTGCCTGTTGACTCTTTAATCCATTTTAATATGCCATCAAGACAAAGTAAGTCCCAAGCTCTGTGGCACATTTTTATACTACCCCCGTGAGTGGATATTAGAGAGTGACATGTACCTTTAAGGGCTTCCTGTATGATTGTACAGATAAATTAGTTCATCTTAATCCTGCTATAGCTTTCTCTTAAAATGGAGTATTCCAAAAATATTTTCCATTTTAGTCAACATGGATTTGCAGGGGAGTAAAGTGTCTTTTCCTCACCCAGCATACGGTTCATGAGAGGTCTCTATATCAAAAGAGATCAATGAGAGAAAAGTGAACATATTTATTTAACATAAGTTTTACGTGACACAGGAGCCTTCAGAAGTAAAGACTAAGAGAAACAGGGAACCCTGTGTCTTTATTCTGAGATTTGAAGCAGATTGGTCAGTGGAGTGGTGGCCCTAAGAGGAGGGTATGGTTTACTTGGTATGTCCTTTGTCTTCAGAGAGGGGAATTTTCCTGGTATCTGGGTTTAGAGAAAACCTAGGGTCTTCCCTTTGTCCCTCCCCACAATAAGGGTCACATGGTCTGCTTCAGAGAACTTTGGGAGGTCAGAGAGTGATCTTTATAGGTCTTCTCAAATACTGAGGTGTCAGGTTTTGGGGTAGCGTGTTCTAAATCCAATCATTTTCTATTGACATCATTCTTTTTGTCTTCAAAATATTGGCAAGAAATTGATAAATTCCTTTCCCTTTGTTTATATCTGAGATTTTCATAGCTACTCTTACATTTGTTGGCAAAATTGAATGGATATATAATGTGTATGATAATATTTATTGGCTTATTTTTTATTAGTCTGACTATACATTCTTATCTCTGGTGGTGTTATATAAGCTGACTAGTAGAACAGTAATTCATATGCAGATCATTCCTTTAATATTTAGTTGTAAGATTTGAAAATATTGTTTGCACTTTACTAGGGAATTATATTTTGCCTGTCAGGGCTCATTAAATTAATATATTCTGTCTGGTTTGATTTTTTTTTTTTTTTTAAGTTCTAGGTTTTGAAATAGATGTGACATTTAGGGGAAAAATGATGCATTACTTTTTAACAATCTGTGTTAAGTTATATTTTTTTGTAACTCTGAGTTTCTAAGGAAGATTTGGGGAAGGGAAATAGGATAGGCATCCACTTTCTTTCTAAGCTTAGCTTAACTCTGACACAATTAATTTGTGTAATTCTGTACGTTGCCTCAGCCTTCAGATGAGTATATTTTCTATCCCTATTGTAACATTCTATTGGTAAAACATTTATCTCAAGAATATTTAAGATCTATTTTCTCAAGTAGCAAATTGCTACACTTTTTAACAGTAAGTATAGTATCATTTTGGCAAGTACATTAAATTACATTTGAGGTAAATCAGAATTTTTTTTTTTTTTTTGAGCTTGTTAAAGTTGTTAACATGGTAGCTGAATTTGTTGATGAATTCAGTCTGATGTCATGTTTCATTGGCCTTTGAAAGCCTACATGTTATTTCAAGGTATTAAACATTCTTAGTTTCAACTGTCTTATGTTTGTGAAACAATAGTTTTAGGAAAACTAAATATGGTGGTGTCAGTGGATTCTGAAATTTTTTTTCTCCTCTAGGGGCCTGGAATAGGAAATGCCTCTCTCTCTACATTTGGTTTTGTGGGAGCTGCACTTGAAATCATTTTGATTTTGTATCCTTTCTTTAACTGAATTTTCTGTCTGTTAACAAGTTTTCTGTCTAGTTTCTGGGACAGTGGTAATTTACTAAGACACTTGTCTGGAAGAGAAAACAGGTCAGTCTTCCCCAAGCACTCAAAGTGGTGTTTTGTTTTGTTTTGTTTTTGCTGTGGGCCTTAAGACCTTTGGGAGGTTGCTGAGAACTCATGGAAACTCGCATTCTTCTGAACAGTTCTCCTTGATTCTCACAGCTATCTTATGGTGTCTTCTGTTGTCGGTTTCTATAGTCTCCGATTTTTTGGAAACTTTACACCCAGGAAGGATGACACAACTATGACAAAGGTAAGGTAAAGTCTGAGGCAACTGTGGCCCTCTGTTGCCTTACAAGACAAACGGACTGTGTTATTTAGTAATTGCTCCGAATGGTTCATCTGCTGTGATAGGTGTTGGTTTGCAAGCTACGTAAACACAAGCGGGAAGATTTTCAGAATGCTGAGTGAGTGGGAAAAGGATGAGCTCTGTTTGATTTGGATGGGGTCCATTCACTTGTAAATGCACAGAACTGCAGAGCTTGTTCACTGCTATAGAAGGGTCCTGAAAGGACTCTTTTGCCTATAAAGAAAACGTATTGCTAATGAGTAACTTTGATTGTACTAACTCTACTTCTGGGAGCTTGTCTGAAATCTGAAGAACTTAGTTGCTACAAGTAGTAGAGACAAAGTATTTCAAATTTGAATAATTAAAGTAAGTCGGAAGAGTTTTATTCAGAAACATTTTGTAGTCTGAGGTTAATTTGACTTTGTACAATATGTCATTGCCTTCATAATAAAGGCTGTTATCTTATATAGTGATTGAATCTCTGGAAAATGTTCCCACAGGCTGACAAAGAATGACTAATAAGAGTTGCTGCCTTACTTTTTTCTTCCATCGTATGTTTCTTATTTTTAACTTATTTAAAAAGGAGAAGATATATTACACACACACACACACACACACACACACACACACACACACACACACATATAGTGTTACAGCTTCTTTAAAGTCAGTAATTGAGGGTTTTTAAAAATCTAGTATCTAGTTTAAATGATCGTAAGTATTAATAAACATTTCGCTCCTCTTATTAAATGTGAACAAATAGCCTAGGACACCTTGAAAATGAGTGACTAAGTTCAGATGTTTAATAGCAGACACTTTTAAAATTAGATCTTAAAGAGAAGTAGATCTTATATAAGAGAACTTGAACAGTAGTCTGGTTTTAAAAATATAGTAAGAAGAATCAAATATATTCTTTTTTATTTGACAAGCAAAGCTTTTTGAAATTGGCAATCATACCAATAATGTGAAGTATATTGTCTAAGTGAAAAGTGACGTAAGTGTTCCATGACTGTGTGTGTGTGTGTGTGTGTGTGTGTGTGTGTGCCAGGTACTGTGAATATTTTATAGAATTCACAGTTATAACTCTAAATAGAAAAAGTTTTATTCTCGCAATTCTGTACTGAGCAGTTAGCATCACTCAGAAGCTGGCTGAGTGGGGCAGTGATCCACAGGGTTGGTGGTTTACTGTCATCCTGCTGTCCAGTTGCCCAGTATTCTTTCTGATTTCTCCTCACAGATCATTGGTAATTGTGTATCAATCTTAGTCTTGAGCTCTGCTCTACCTGTGATGTCAAGAACTCTGGGTGAGTTTAAATGAGAAATGTTCATTTAAAACCTTTTTTCTTAAAGATACTGTTACTAAACCTTTTTAACTTTTATTTTTTCAACTCTTTCAAAAAGATCACCTTTAAAATATAATGTTTCTTCCTACATTGTTATACCTTTAGTTCTGTACTTGGCCATACCAAGACAAACACTTTCATCAAATAAAAACCATTAAAAAAAAAATTTAAAGTGTTTCTTCTCCAAACAACAGACTCCCCCCCTTCCCAGCCCCCACCACATTCACAGCTTTTGAATCTTCCAGTGAGGAAACTGTCTTTAAAAAAACATTTACATCTAGAAAATATTAAACTAATGTCTTTTTTTGAATGTAAAATTTAGTATGTAGTTTAAAAAACTGGAAAATTGTAAACTCATTTTAAGCTGCTTTGTATTCATGAAAATAGAGTTGAAAAATATGCATGATACAGTTTCTGGGAGCATATGCTTATTCCAAGGACGTCCTTGGTCCTCAGTCTCTCTTTGCCTGTCAATCAGATCATTTCCTTAGTTTGTCATTATACAGAGGATTCTGATCATCTTTTAAAAGTAAAACAGATTTCTGCTTTGTCACTGAAAGGTCATTTGACCTTCTGTATAAAATATTAATTATAGACGGTTCAGTTCTTGCCTAGGTATTATTTCAAACAAAACTTTCTATTGGACCATTTTGTATAATTTTCTAGATTTAGGTTTTAACTTAGGAAACTAATGATTATAGAAACATCAGTAACTTCAGCAACGTGCTCTGCAACAACTGTAGTGCCTCTGGGTTTCTTCTGCTTTAGCTGTCATGTTGCCTCCATTATTGATTCAAGGCTAACGGCCATCAGCAGTGCAGGCTGTGCATGAAAGTGGGGGCTTTGTAGTTATCTTCATAATTTTTATGAATTCTTCATTTTTTAATAGAAAGTGTAAAGTGGACATGTAAAGGGACCACTGGAAACCCATTTACTTAGTCCATCAAATAATTTTGGTGATATGACAGCCACCCTGCCATTTAAACATTTAGAAAGCTTATGTACTGTGCTCTGTTACTTAAGATTAGTTGCTGATTATTAATAGATACTGATTTTATGAAGAAAATTACATACTGAATATAGTTTTAATACAAAGAAAAAAAAAGCAGGGCAAAATTCACTTTTTGAGGCCTGACAAATTAAATTCCTGAGTAGTTTTCCATAGAGATAAATAAAAAGGAGAAAAGAAAGATGGAACAATTAAGATGCAGCTAACAAATGCCGGGGCCCAGCTGTCCAAACAGGATTAATGGAGTGCATTAGGGTACAGTGAGTCATGTGGCGCTTTGCAAGGTGTCAGCCCGCTCGGCAGTGCAGGCTATGCCCAGTGGCACTGCACAGATGAAAAGGAGTAGATACGCTAAACAGATGCACAGAGGCTTTTCACAGTGTTAAAGCAAATTTCTAGACTAAAAGATAAAGCTTTATTTTAGTATTATGGGAAATGCAAACTAGAGAGTTACTTTGTAATTCCTCTATTAACTCTTTAGAATTGAGTCTTTGATTTTAAGAAGGTAAAATATAGAGAATTGTCATGAATATTATCCTAGTGTATAGCAGGATTTCAATTTACTAGCTGAAAAGCTTATAAGACTAGAATAGAGGACGTACTTAACAATCAAATTCCAAGCTGTGAAATTTTCCACTCTTTTCTCCTCGCCTCTCACAAGGAAATCTGACCTTACGTGGTCTCATTTGCTCCTGCAGGATCAGCCAGCAGTGTCTCATCACTTAGGTGACATAAGAGAGACAGTAACAAGGAGAATCATAATTTAACTGAATCGTGCATTTTCCCTCTTATTCCAATAATTTTCTAGTGAAGACTGTAATTTTAATTGGAAATTGAAAATACATCAAACCTAGTAAGATTAATTTGGCGATATTTTTGCTTCAAAAGTGAAAAATGTTCTGTGGGTGTTTTTCTCTTTTGAAAAAATTGCTGAATTCTATTATTGTTTTATTATAGGCATTATAAATTAAAGCTTTAAGTTCATAATGTGAAATAATACATTTATTAAAGAATTCCTTTTAACATTTAAAGCTTGTTAATATTTGAATGAAGAAAATTTTGTACTATTTAGATAAAGTCACCAATAAATTTAATAAGGATATCACATGCTACAGAGAATTAAGTGGCAAGGAATGTTTTGACCAGGTAAAAAGGAATGTTTTGACCAGGTACTTCAGTCAAGCATAATGATAGTTTTATTGCCCATAGGAAGTACAAAGACTTCTTAAAATTTTGTGTTTGAACCCTTTAAAGCCCTTCTAAAGTTTTGAGCCATGCCAGTGTTCCAAAACGTTATTTTGTTGAACATTTAGACTTTAGTTTTGAGGAATCCAAATTGGGTTTGTGGGGTCATTTGATGTCCGTTACCTATAGTAAAGGGTTTACTGTTTACTTTAATGAACTCTCCAAGTGGTAAGAGGAGATGGTTGCAAACGGGGTACAAACAGAACAGGATCAAATTGGTCATCTAGGGATGTCTCAACTTCTCTATAACTATTTCAAGTTTAGATGTTGCAGTGAATTCCTTAAGAATAGATTTCATATGATTGCTGTCATGCTCTTCATTGTGCTTAATCAAGAAAACAATGAAAGGTTAACATCTTTTCATTGCTTTTCATTTTGAAATTTCTAATGATGGAGAAATTTTTCTCAAATGCAGATAACAGTATTTGAAATGCTTTTGCTAATTTTTGCTTCAGAAATTTTTATTTTATTTTTATTCTAGATGGTCTTTCTTGCATAAAATATGCAAAGTCCATAATACAGATTTTTTTAAAAAGTGTTTTTGGCATTTTAATAAAAATATAATTTCAAATGAAGTTGAATTTATTTTTAGCATTTCTACATGTTTCTCATCCAGGTCCATGCAGTCTGACACCCATAAAGGAGACACAGTGGGTTACTCTCTTGTTCTCTGATGGAGGGCTCTTGTTAAAAAGTGGTCTTTTTTTGGAGAAGGCTTTATATGAGTTTTTTTTTTAATATGTTACTAATATTTGCCCTCAGATATACCTCTTCATTTCTCTCTGTAAAATGGAAATAAATGATCCTTTTACAGATGCTTAGCAATGGCAAATTATGATATTGATATAAAAGTAATTTCAAGACCCATATTGAAAGTTTCTCAGCAAAAAATATTGAATGACTTAGTTATATTCAGATATATTATAGAAAATAATAAGTGAGTGGAATTAATTAACTTTTGATTATTAATGTTTTTATAGCAAACTATAAATTTGTATATATAGTTAGGATTTTTAAGAATAAAGAATTCTTAAAAGTATTTTGTTTACGGGGCTGAGTTGTAGTTCAGTGGTAGAGTGCTTGCCTTGTACGTGTGAGGCACTGCGTTCAATTCCCAGCACCACATATAAAGAAGTAAATAAAAATAAAGGCCCATCAACAACTAAAAAAAACTTAAAGAAATATTTTGTGTCAAATGTCTAAGGGGGCGACTAATGATAACTCCCTGGAAATTCATGTTCCCTGTGTCTCCTTATTGTGTTTTTGATACTACACTGATTTAGGGAGATGAAAAATGGTCTGAGAAAATGACGCATTGTTCAGATGAATCTAGACTTAGCCATCTGTTGATATTCAGATACCTTAGTTTGCTATAAAATAAAATAAATTTCATATGAAAATAATCCCAGATCATTTAGCTAGAAGGAACCTGAAGAGGTAATTTTAAAAATGTTACAGTTAAAGTATTAGTTAAAACTAGACGGTTATAATGAGGGTTCAGGCTAGAATGGCTTCAGACCACCAGTTTGAATCCTAGTCCCTAGTTTCCAGAAACCATTTTGGTTTATAGCTTTTCAAATAATATCTTGTAAATGTGGGTGTGAGTGTGTTCTCTATAGGAAATTTTAACTCTCACCTGGATGTGACTTTGTTTCTAATTCTTTTATTAGCATTCTTGTTCCCTTTGATGGCTCTTGACTTTGTGTGCTGCCCAGTGGGAGTTAAAAGAAGATTTTGAAATAATTTCCTCTATCAGAACTCAGTCATCTGAAACTGAATTTCAAACCCAAACATGTGACTATCTCTATGTGTAGGTTACTGGTGACCTCCTAATTGTCTACTCTTGTGGATTCTGATTTTATCTTAATTAATCTGGCATTTGTTGTTTGTAACCTTGGCCCTCCCCCCCCACTTCTTCATTTCTGATCACCAAGGCCTTCTTTTCTCCTTCTCCTCTAGCTTTGCTGCTGTGCACCTACTACAACACATCACTTGTTCCCACTTCCAAACCTTCAACTTACCACCCACCCCTAAGCTAGGCAGAGGAGCCCAGCTCTGCTCCAAGCAGGGTTCCACTGCCAACCCGTACTGGTCCTTTCTAAATCAGAGCCTGTTGTGCTTGTCTCTGAATTCAGTCTTTGGAACACTTCTATCCAGAAGGCCAAATCAGAACCTTAAGAGTTTTGGCAGGCTCCTCTGCCATCTTGCAGTGATATTTGGTAGCAGTACTAGGTTTCATCTTCCTCCCCATGTTTCTCTTGGAAAAGTGAAGAGTTTGATAGTGTTGAAAGCAGAGAACTGTATGTGACTTTCTCTTAATAGTTCATCCTTGAAAGGAGTGTCGTGGATTCTAAGCAGGTGTTCTCCCTTCTTCCCTCCCTCCCTCCTTCCTCCTCCCTCCCTTCCTTCCTTTCTTTCCTTTTTCTTTTTTTTTTTTTCTTTTGAGAAGGGTGGAGTAAGAAGACACTAAGCCAAACCAGAAGAACTAAGAAAGCATTTAGTTTTGCAATTTAATTTCTCCCACAGTGAGAAGGTGTGATTGGGAGGTGTCGCAGAGGCCCTTTCTGGAGAGTTTCTCCAGGAGGATAGACAGCTGCCTTCTACATTGCAAGGCTAAGGCATTCACTTTTTTGCAAATTAGTTCTTTCTTGGACTCTGACTCGAGTTTTCCTTGGTTGGCTCTGGCTTGTCTTCAAGTTCACCTGAC